AAAGCTTAGGTTTGGTTTGTAGCCTACAGTTTCATGCAGTGAAACTAATCACATCTCAGATGGCACTAAAGAAATGTAGAGGACATTATCTTAGTAAGGAATTCGAGCTGTGCAGTGAAAGAAGAAACAGGAGGCATTTTTCGACAACATTATGATAGATGTGAGAACTTTCAGTCAAAAAAGTTACATGAAGGGAGAGATTGTATAATTGCTAATAGGACATTAGATTGTGTGAGGATTGAAGGGGAAAAAGCATTTAGCATCTTAGAACCTGCTTGAGCTGAGAGGCAAAATGAAGGTCAGCTGGCCTTTAGCACAGAAGATTAGATTACAGCTTGGGATGGATGCTACAGAGTACAGGTAAAAAAATCATAAACCTAAAGGAACTTACAAAAGAAAAACAATCTGGAAGATGCAAGAAGCTATCCACAAAATGCAGTCAGAAAGACTCTGCAATAAGCAAGAATGAAAGCATGCACAAACTCTTACAGAAAGCAGAGACCAACACAACTTCTAACATCTCCTTTGGACTTAATAAAGGGGAAGCCATTTGAAAAGAAAAAAAATATAATAAAGGAGATCAAAGCTGAAGATACAGCTCCCCCCAAAAAAATGGTTCCAAGAACATACAGTGAAATAAAGCTTCTATTTAGGAAGAGGTAAAGACAGTTTCCTCCAGTGGTGGGGACATCGTGGAGACACTTCTCAAAGTATTTACAGGTTGACCACTGGTGCACTGCTTAATTGTTCCTCTGGTATTGCAGTAAAGGATCTGGATGGAAAATCTAACCTTATTAAGAACAGCTTGGTAAGAGTCAGGTCAGCTTGTCTATTGCTCCTTCTTGTAAGCTAGATATAAAAGTAACCTTGGAAAGACAGTTTGAGCTGCTCAGGGAAATAATGCTTAGAACTCAACACACCAGACAACAGGGCTCATCAAAAGAAAGACTGCAAAAGAATGGGTAAAAACAGAAAAAGCTTTTCCCAGAACCATAAAAGTCTGTCTCCTGCAGCCACAAACTGAGGACTACTGCTCTCCCCCAAACCCTCAGTCCCCCATCATTACCAGAGCTACAGAGCGATCCAGGATCATTATTCCCTCAATCCAGAAATAGCCTGGTTAAACAATGTAATCATTGAGCATGTCATGCCAAAACCAATATCTGTGTTTTCTTCACCTGTCACCTATACAGTGGTCATGCCAAGTTATGGGCTCGGGTTGATTTTTAGGAGTTTAAATGTTTTGGAAATTAACAAGCACGTTCAGTCGAGCATTAGGTTTCTGAAGTTTAATCCCTCTGTCAAAATTGTTTAAAAGGATTCTTAAAAATGCTGAAAAGTCAAGATTTGCACCAGTAAATTATGAGGGCCAGAAAACTTGCTGAGATGTCATTTAATAGAAAGCCTAGAACAAGTGCTTGAGTATGTAACCCAACAGTGTAAAAGCCAGGGACACTGTGAAGCCCTGGCAGCACCACAGAAAAATCAATTAGAAACACACTATGATGAAAAGGTCACTCAAGCTAACATCTTGGCAGGCAGAGACAGATATAGTACATCTAAGTATGTAGAAGAAACACATTATTGATATGGGTACAAAATGCAATTGATCCTTCTGAATTGTTGCTGTTTCCTGCAAAGTGACTGGTAAAGAAATCACTGGAGAAACTGCTGATGCCTGCAGCAGCCTCTCCAGGAGATGATGAAGCTGCTGCTCCAGGATAAGCCTATCCCAACACCTGCCCATTCAGCACTAGGCTGGCAGGGAAAGCAGAAAAATTCCACAGGAATCTGTTTGGCTACTCCCAGTGTTCCTCAGGTCAGACTTTTTCCACCACCATCTCAGTGACTCTGAAACTGCCAGTGCCATGCATTTGAGTCAGAAGACGTTAAGCCATTTCTCAACAGGGCAGGGAGATCTTAAAACACTTTTCCTTTTTTAAGGGAAAAAAATAATAGAAAGACTACAGACCAGATCACACTTAGTGCCCACCAACAACTGCACATGTAGCTGATGGTTTGCAAGCATTTTTCATCTAAAAGGGTGCTGAGGAATGCTTTCTGCTCAGTACTTCAGAGGCACCCAGGTACTCCACAGGTAGCACAAGGTTCAGGTCCAGAAGAAATTTTAGCAAGTTTATAACACTGAACAGAACTGCCATGAAGAAGTATTCACAGATTAAGTTGCTTTTCATTCTTACCAATGGCTTCTGATCTTGGTGCCTCACTGACCAATATAATCCTAAATCTTTCACCATTCAAAGTTCTTCTGGAGGTGGGAATGCTGTTTTCGGGAATGACACAGTGTAAAATTGGGAGCCTGAGAAAGCGTGGGCTCCTCAAGGAGCACTTCCAATTCAGATCTGGTACTCCAACACCTACAAAGCAATCCCACGCCACAGTTCACTGTTACAGCTGCTCATACCCCAAAGTGCACCTTGCTGGAAACAGCTCTCTCCCACATAATGGGTGGTTTCTTCTGTCATGGCAGAGAAGAACGAGGCAAGATGGTTTGTACAAGGTCATAATTCCACAGAATGTTTTCTCTAATACCAGAACCATTCCCAAACATTTCCCAGCCCTTGTCCTGCCCAACGCTGGGCACACAACCTACCCAACAAGCTGATGGAGCAAATCCATGCAACATTGCAAGAACCAAGGCAGGGTGACAGCTGGAAATGATCATTATTCAGACCCTCCCCATCCTAATGAGCCTGCAAGCTGGAAGGCAGCAAGGGGAAGGTGATCGAGTTGTCCTGGGTTCAGCAGTAGCAGTCATTTTTTCTCCTTCTTAGTAGCTGGTGCAATGTTGTTTTCAACTTTACTTTGGGAATAGCGCTGATAACACCGACGTTTTTCGTTGTTTCTCAGTAATGCTTACCCCAGTCAAAGACTTTTTGAGTCTCATGCTCTGTCAGGGAGGAGGGGAAGCAGGGAGGAAGCAGAGACAGGACACCTGACCCAACCTAGCCAAAGAGGTATTCCACACCACAGCACGTCATGCCCACTATATAAACTGGGGGGAGTTACCCAGAAGGGCAAGATCACTGCCCAGGTTGGGCTGGGTATCGGTCAGTGGGTGGTGAGCGGTTGTATTCTCTTCCCTTGTTATTTCCCTTATCATTATTATTACTGGTGGTAGCAGCAGTGGTTTTGTGTTATGCCTTAGTTACTGGACTGCTCTTATTTCAGCCCATGGGAGGTGCATTCTTTCGATTCTCCTCCCCATCCCTCCAGAAGCAAGGGGAGCAAAAAGGGGGGAGTGAGTGAGCAGCTGCGTGGTTCTGAGTTACTGGCTGGGCTTAAACCACGACATGGGTGAAGGCAATTTTGGGTGAAAGCTCGCCTGTGGTTGACAAAATTAGGTCACTAACTTGCAAAAGAACAACCTTTAGGTTTCTGCAAAAGAGGTGGAACATGGAAGTGCATTAACCATAGGAGCTCAAGGACTCATTGCTGCCTTTCTGACATCTTCTAAGGGCACCGATTGTGCCTGGAGACAGCAGGCTTTACGAAAGCTGATGAGATCCTACACACATCCCTAATCTTGGTTCTTCCCCCTCATGGCATGAACCATTTCTGACTCCTTTGCTGAATTACAACAGCTTGTACAGCAAGACTTTTCCAAATAAAGCATTTAATTTTTGTTTCCATGCTATTGGTTATCCCAAATGTTATCCCACCACCCACCAAGTTTCAAGTACTATGTCCATCAACCAAGCTGTCCCTTGTCCCTCAAAATGGGAGCACATACAGCTGGGGCATTTCTCAAATACCCAGAGAAGTGCCAGGCAGCAGCAGGGCAATTCAAAATGTCCACAAACAGCTTCAGTCTGCAGAGTGGCAAACGGGGTGATTGCATCAGTGGCCACCCCACACAAACCCTGTTTGCCCCACGGGTCACTGTTGCAAGCACTGGCTTCAGGGCCCATGTGAGACACTGCCATGTGCAGTCATTCAGCAACTTCCTCATTGTTAGTACGATGGTGTGGTGAGGATCTAACTTCATCACCTGCAATGTCCCTGCTTCTCTTACCATCAACACAGTGGGGACAGAGCTAGGACAGGGTACCATGGAGATGGGAAAACTTGACACAGAACAACATGAGAAGAGCTGTCAGCAATGTGTTCACGAAACAATGTTCCTTGCCAGTATTCATTGAAAATCCTCCAGGATGCAGGAGCTTCCTGCCATTTACTGGAAAAACAGGCCATGATTCCTCTCTTGTAAGAGGATGATGCAGTTACTTTCACTTTTCCTCCTTCCACATTCCCCACCCAGTCACCCTTTGGCACATCAGCACCATCACAGGTAGGATTCACGCCTAAGTGACTGTATCAGTGGGTCAAGTTAATCATACATTCAGCAGTGCAGCTTTCAACAGTGGTAGGTGTCACTGCATCAGGGTATGCAAGGCTGGTACATCCACATCTCAGGCTAGAAATAAGGTGGTGATTAGAATCATAGAATAGTTGGAAAGGACCTTAAAAATCATCTAGTTCCAACCCCCCTGCCATGGGCAGGGACACCTCACACTAAACCATGCCACCCAAGGCTCTGTCCAACCCGGCCTTGAACACCGCCAGAAATGGAGCATTTGCAACCTCCTTGGGCAGCCCATTCCAGTGCCTCACCACCCTTACAGTAAAGAATTTCTTCCCTATATCCAATCTAAACTTCCCCTGTTTAAGGTTTAACCCATTACCCCTTGTCGAATCACTACAGTCCCTAATGAAGAGCCCCTCCCCAGCATCCCTATAGGCCCCCTTCAGATACTGGAAGGCTGTTATGAGGTCTCCATGCAGCCTTCTCTTCTCCAGGCTGAACAGCCCCAACTTTCTCAGCCTGTCTTCGTACGGGAGGTGCTCCAGTCCCCTGGAAAGTTCATCAATTTCTGCTTCCAAAGAACCTACACCCTGAAATCCTTCAGGGGACTGATATTGGTTTGCTGCGTTACAAAATAGTCTAAAGCTACCACTAAAATCGAATAGCATTAAAAAAAATAATAAAAAAATGTATTAAAGTGTGATTTCTTCAGTGTAAATTCAAAGGAGAATCCAGCATTCACTACAGGATCCTACAGTGGGTATTGCCGCTGTACTCCAAGATATAGGCAGGGTAAATCTGGTGCTTCTCAAAGATAACAAAGATAGAAGGGTCTGTTGGGTCATTCACGCAGCTGTCATAAAGTCTGTTTGAATTGCTGTCTCTGAGTGGAGGGCGAAGGTGTTCGGGTTTTCCCTGAACAAATTCTCCCACAAGAACATTAGCTACAAACATGCTGTAGCGACCACTTTGAGAGGAACAGAACTTGTGAGAATAGCTGGCATCTCTGGCAAAGTAGCTTCCTAAGGACCAGAAAAAGACACAGGAAAGACAGTATGTGAACCGAGGAACAAACATCTGCTATCGGCACTTCTGTAACCAGCAATTCAGCAACCCCAGGTACCTCTATACACATCTTTGCCAGGTGTTCCCACATCAGCTTATTTTAAAGCATTGACAATCTGCAGCCACATTTTGCTACCAACATCCCAGTTCCACCTGTCCAAGAGCTTTGCTGAAGAGCAGGTACCTGAGGCAAAGACGGCTGGTTTTAGCACCTCCCAAACCTGGATTGATGTGGATGCTGCCTGCAGCAATGCAGATGCATGCAGGTGAGACTGCCCTAATAGTAGAAGAGCAGGAGTCAGGAACACTCAGTCACCTCACACCCACTAACCTGGCTGGGGTCTGCAGCCTGTGCTGCTACAGTCCCTGAACCTAACACTTCCACACTCGTACCTTTCCCATACATTGTCCCGTGAGTCCCACACAGCCTCCAGTCGAAGTTCTGCTCACAGATGGCAGGCATGTGGGACGGACTTGTCCCATGGAACAGGAGCCGCTCATCCACGCACTCCAATTTACTGAGCTTCTTCATCTGCTCCTTTTGCCTAGGGACAAAAAAAGAATGATGCGTTACCCTGGTTCAAATGAGGACAATTTCCCAACAAAACTCCTCCCACTTTTGGGTCACAGAGGAACAGTGACACAAAGCACTCTCAGTGGGGTTACTGCCTGCTTTGCACTCTGTTGGTATCCTGCTGCATAGCTGGCTCCTTCTAGCAAAACAAAATGTTCTCAGCATCGTTATGGACTCTGTCACCCACAGCTTCATACCACATGAGAGCATAAAGAGACAGACATCGCTTGACTGAACCGGTCAGTTCTCAGGTTGTATAAATTCTGAATGCATAAATATGATTATAAAACTGTGCTGTATGACGCCACAGTGAAGATTGTATAATATCTACCACTATCTTTATCACATAAAAAGTCCTTCAAAAAAAAAAAAAGACAAAACCAAAACCCAACCAAACTCCTATGTGAAAGAGGCTAAAAAAAAAGAATAAATCTGAGATTTCACAGCTCAGACATGGTGAAGGAAAATAACTTTGTTTTTTAATAACACTGCTAAGGAAACACCCCTCCACATCCCCCCCCAACATGCTAGGCTACATGATAAGAGGCTCATTTCCACACACACGAAAGAAGAGAAACAACCCAAAAAAACTGATCAATAGAAGGAGGAGCACCAGTCACTCCCAGGGCTGCCCCAGGGACCACAGAGACACTCAGCACTGTGAGCGGTGGAAAGGGTGCAAAGCAGCTCACAGACATGAGGAGAGTGCTGCCTACGAGAGTGTGGGACTTGTTACAGGACAGAGGGAAAGAGTATTTGAGTATTGCACCGGACTTATAATGGCATGTTTAACAGAGGAATTGTAGGTGGGAGAAGGGAGGGATCAAGATGGTCTGAGGAGGTACAAACACAGGAAAACAGGTGGATAAGGGGGTACAAAGAGCTGGTTGTGTAAAAACAGGCAACTGTGTAGTCAGTAGGCTTGTCTGGCTATGCTCTGTGCCTGATCAATGCAGTCCACCCCTATCTTCTCATTAAACTCCATTTCTACCTATTACCTGGGTGATGGACTCTCCAGTCTGTGTGCGTGTGCATGTGCATGTATGGGGGTCTGAGTGCAGCAACTGTAGTAGGACATTGGATGACAAGACCGTATGCCTACAGTGCCAGCACCTGCAGCAAGCGAAGGTATGAGTGTCAGAGCCTGATCACTAGCCAACATAAGGCTGGACAGCCAGGGAAGAGGGTCACTGGCCTGGAAGCCAGCTTTCGGAGCAGTCATAAGATGCTGGAGAGACCAGAAGGTCTGAGCTTGCTTATCAAAGGGACCAGGGGGTCCAGACCAACCACTGTAGCATCATAAGTCCACAGAGATCCATTTGCATACGTGTGTGTGTTTATGCAGAACATAACTGAAGACAAGAGGACCCAGGGGCCAGCACATGAGTAGGGTGAGTGTCTAAGACCAGCACCTAGGATGCGATGGATGTCAGGGATGCATGCATGTACGTATGTTCCAGTAACAGGCTTTCATCCCAGTTGGCCAGAGGAAGGGGACAGGATGAGACCTTTGGTGCTATTTATGATTGAATAAGTGCCATGCTGTCTGTGTTAGGTTTTGTGTCCAGCTGTGTGCATGTTCATGTTTTGTGTGTGTGTGTGTGTGTGTGTGTGTGTGTGTGAGCCTACTGGGAACGTGCTAAGCCTCACTTCCACCTGGACCTGGCAGACAGATACGTGGCAGTCTCACCTCTGCTGGGCTGCTGGATTTGGCAACACCTAATGCAGATTATGGAGGACAACAGATCAGGAAATGCCAGTCTTCTGCTACCATAAGGATAATGAAATAGAATAGATACAAACCACTGAAAAACTTGCCAAAGTGTTGGGTTCTGGATCCTCTGCAATCGGTGGATGAAGAAATCTTTCATTGTCTTCTCAAACAGGTTCTTAATTTTACTGTATTCGAGGGAAGTGCAGCTGACCTCTATCAACTAAAAATTTAAAAACCACCAAAAATAAGGAATTATTGACAGTAACAACTACTCCTTCCAAAGGACTCATAAACCTCCTCAAGTGAGACGAAAAGCCCTGCCATTAAAATCCCAAGCTGCTTCTGTCTTTCTAGTTAACCTTCCTCTCCCCACCTTCACCCTCACTCCCCATGTGGAAGCACAGGCACTAACTGAGGGAAATGAATGCAATCCCACATGAGCTTCCTGTGGTGGACACACCTCCACGCCTACATTATTTTTCCTTCAGAGTAACCTAAAGGTGAAATGCACAGCAGGGTTCAGGCTGGAAAAGAGTATCAGTTTCACCTTGACACCCCAGCTCCTTCCCTACATGGCTAAGCCATAGTTTTTACTACATCAAATAACATTTTGTTCCAAATCAATGGAGGAAATACTACAATACCTCCTTAAGATGCAGTTTATCAGAGGATCAGCTGCCTTCAGAGAGTGCAAAGGACAAGACCAGTAATGGCCAAAAGGACCTTTCTTACCCTGTGTGGCATGTGTTGGGGGTCTCAGAGAGCCTCCCAGGAGACACAGCTCTATTCGGAATGTGAAACTGTCAGCCTTTTTTCACCTCATAGTTACTTGCTTCATAAGATCTGTTTAATAGTTGGGAACATCTCAATCGCCTTAGGTCACGTTCTCAGAAAAATGAGTACAGGATCCAGTTTGCCCTACAAATTGAAGAGCTGGAAAGACCTACCTTGAACCCAATATCGGGCAGTGCAGATAGGTCCCATTCTGGAGGGTAAACAAAATGGGATAGGGTCGTGTTTGAGCTGCAGAAAAGGAAAAGGAGCAAGTCAGTCTGCTATACTCCTAACCAAATCCCCCTTCCAAAGGATGCAGCTGCTGGCTGTATGTTAGCATTAGCGTATCCCCAGACTTTCATTTTTGTTTTACTTTCCACATCGCCATTATGCCTTTCTCAAGTCCAGATTTCCACACACATCCTACTGGCACTAATGCATCTCTTGGCAGGTAGGAGAGCTTCAAATGAGAAGTAGCATGCCCCTAGCCAGGTGGTTTATACAACTGCTCCAGCTAGACCTCCACATGGGCTGTTTGAACCTCTGCTAGGAAACAGAAGCATAAGCCCTCTCCCTCCATGTGGCCACTCAGCTCTCAGTCACTGGACAGACCTGTCCCCAGGACCAAGCATTTCAGGAGGCTGCAGTGGATAGTTGTGCCCTGAAGGCACTACTGCACCAGTTATTGCTTAACAACTTCCAGCACTAATGCCCTCCTGCACACATGCATGTTTTAACCCAGGCAATAGGAGCATTAGAATCCATTCAGGAGCTGCAGTTTGGTTTGTTTTTTGAATCAACCCCCTTGGTTAAAGTAACCTTTAAATTGAACTTCATATTCATATTCATGCTTCATATTCACTGCCTGCTGGTGATTTTCTAACACAAAGATGGCTCTTTTTAAAATAAAGCTGTAGCACAATTAATTTCCACACCAGACATGCTCTAATCCTGTCAACAGCCGTAAGATCAGGTATCCCAAATAAGTGCATCCAGTTCACTTCATTAGAAGGATTTACTTCTGCATTTTTATTTTATCCTCAGCTTTCCAGGGGATAGCATCTGTCTGCTCCACAGTTCTCAGGACTGGCAGTCCCTTGGTCCTACACTGGGCACAGTTCATTCAGTATTGTCAGAGCATAAATCAAAGAATAAAAAGTCCTGACACAGTTGTGTCAGCCCTGTGTGGCCTGGCCTTGCACTCACAGAGAGAATAAACCTACTCAAGGGGTCTCTTACAGCTGCCGGAGACTGGCACCAAACATCCCTCCAGCAAGCTTCATGGAAGGGTTTCATAGTTTACAAGTACTGTTACTGCAGAATTTGCCACTGAAGTGGTCAGCAAAAGGTATCTACAAATTAAGAAGTCTAAAATTGAATTCTACACAGGTAGGAGGAACTTCTCAACGGAAGGTGCTGCCACCTAGAAGCATTATTAAATAATAAGGAATGTATATTACCTTTTGTCTTGTCCATCTTGAGAGGGCAGAAATTTTGGCCGTCGGGCAACTTTCCTTTTAGTTTTATAGTGCAAGTTTGTTTGGACCATGCCTTGAAAAAAAAAAAAAGCACGATGACTCAATAATTAGATACCTTTGTCCAGGGACACATGATCTTAAGTGTTTAGAGAAAAGGAGGTAGCCCTGAATATCACATCACGGTGCCCTCTGTACCACAGACACCCCACTCCATGCTTTGAAACCATTCCCACTTGTGCTGCTTCTGCTTGGAGCCCAGCAAGGTCAGCACTTGCTAACACAGGTCATGAAGCTCAAAAGCACCCAACCACCAGCTGCACCTGCACACCCATTCACATCCAGGCTGTTGGACAGAGAAAACTACATCTGATGTCAGGCCTACAGCAATGAAGAGCTTTCAGTAGGATGGAAGCCATAAATCTAGCTTTCCTGGCAGTGTGGGATTGTTACTGGTGCTAAGAGGAAAGTCTGTCCTCTCTTCTTGGTCCTGTAACAATATCACAGAGCGCATGCTGTGTGACATGGCTAATTATCCATTGTTTCCTCCTTTAAACACCACTCCACTCACGCCAGGAAACAGATTTAAAGTTTGGAAAGCTAACAGGAATTTTAAGATGGGTGAATAAATGAGAAACAGACAAGCATTTCTTATTTTCTTTTTTCACTCTCTGTGCAACCAGCCCTACATTTTCCTTTGCTGCACTGCGTGCTCTCTCTAACTAGCTTGCAAGACATCTACCATAGGCTGACTTCTTTACCATTTGACTTTTCAGTGCATTATTATTTTTTCCTTTTCTCATTCCTCCTCCTTAATTGTATAAACCCAGATACATAAGTCAGATGTCACAAAGTGTTTGCTCTCAGCTCTTCTTCTGAAAACACGATATTGTCAGATATACTTTTTTGACTACAGATGCACAAGTTTAGAAGCTTGAGCACCTCTAAATTGCAGAGATGTATGTACTGCTCGAGTTCTGCTTGGAGAAAATTATGGGAGGAAAAAGACCTGTTCAAAGAAACCCAGACATAGGGTGAATCCTCTGCATGAAGAGGGCTACCTTAGAGACAGCTACACTGTGTAATGAACTTAAAACAAGGAGATACTTTACCATTAAAGTTTAATATATATGCTTGAGAACCAGCCTTGAATAACACAGAGCCTTCCTGGTCATCTTGGAATTCCTTCTCTAGAACTTCAGATGTTACTGTGGCGCAGCAGTGATCTGAATGCTATAGAAAAAACAGGGAAATTATACCTGCTAGAAACCAGCCTTTCATTTAGGTGATGCAAATAACAGTGTTACCCCAGCCTTTGTCACAGAATGCCATTTTGAACTAAGCCTCTAAGGCTTCAAGCATCTTGTTCTTCAGTGACAGATGGGTACCCCACAGAGAACTGCTGCTTGTAACACCAACAACAAAGCAGCCTTCAGTCTATGTGGCCAGCTTCAGCTAAAAGATATCTGTCATCTCTCAGAACACACCCACTTTCAAAGCCACTCCTTTGAAAGCTTTCACAGAGTAGCAGTACTGCTTTGTGGGACAATTAATAAGGCAAATCCACCAGTGCACAGAGCAGCAATGCAAGGGCACACAGCAGCATGTGTGGAACACCAGCTGCAGAGCAATTCTCCAAGGATGGCTTAACAAGAGATTTTTGTCATCAACAGGAGATGGGTCTCACCTTTTCCCCATATTCAATCCAGTTCCCAGAATCATCGAGCCAGTACCAGGCATACTCCATTTTGGGAGCAGGTGGACGAGTCAGAAGACACCACAGGCTCAGGACAGCTGATTGATGCCTGGCTGCTTGCTTGGCCCTAGCATCAGAAGAGAAACCCAGATTAAAATAAGGGTCTTTTCCAAAGCTGTCAAACTATTTGATATCCCTGATCTGATCGAAGTCTAATCACTTCTCAGGAAACCCTTCCAGCTGGGGAGCACAGATTTGGCCCAGAACCAAGGAAGTGAAGTCTGTACATTTATGGGGCATGGTAAGCAGCACAGAAATGACCCTGACTTCTGTGGCTTGGACCCGAGTCACTGTTTTTCTCTAAAATATATCTCTCTAAAATACACATTGGAAGGAAATACAACTTGACACAATAAACTCAGCTCATTACATGAAGGCCAATGGTGCCACCTGGCTAACAGGAGTAAGATTTAGCTTCTAGGCAGTGTGTGATCAGTTGCAGAAGTCAGAGTGCCTTCAGAAGGCACTGATAACATCCTTTCATGTTCAGGGAAGCAAAGCAGCCACTCATAGGTACAGTACTAAACACAGATGCCCAAGTGCTGGCAGTGTGGGCTGCAGGAGTGGTCTCAGTGAGAAGAGACCAAGAAGTACTGGACAGCCAGCTAAACGGACCCACTGCAGGACACAGCTGAGACCATTAGCAGGGGAGCATTCTCAAAGGCACCACCAGTTGTCTTCTACCCTGGAGACACAGCGCCTACAAAAAAAAGAAGCTGAAACAGGTAGCCACCAATAATTCAAATTCAGATGGTTTTACTTTGCTTGCTGCTGGGCTCCAGACTCCTTTGAATGTCCAAATTCTGGACCCAGACAACATTTTTCCAGGCATCTCATCATTTTTCTGCTCCTACAACATTCCTCTATTGAGGAGCATATCCAAACAAATGAGAGCTCCCACCTGCATGCCATGGAGTTTGCAAACGTCTGCAGCTGAGCCACTTAGAGCTGCCTGAAGAATTTGAGCACAGTATTCAAACTGAAACTAAACGATCATTTATCCTGCTCTAATACACCCTTCATTCTTTGGCAGGGATCACAGGTATTCAGTGCAAGCCAGTCAGATGAATCATTACAAGAGGAGCTTTACAGAGCTGGTTGCAGTACTAAGGTCCACAAAGGCTTGGCAGCCCTGGACTGCCAGAACAAATTGCAAGGAAAGATCTGAGTCTCCTTCACAGCCTTTGCTTGCTCCAGCACTGTCTTCAGACCATGGTTGCTCTTTGTACGCAGTAACACCCGCCAGGCCTGTTCCTAAAAAATGCTCCCAATGCATTTTCTCTCAAATCCCATTGCAGGAGACTCATGAGATCCAGCACTCCTCAGAGACTTTTTTGGATGTGGCTGTCCTTTTACTGCCCTCTGCACAGCAGTGTACTGCTGCTGCTGCCACGGCACAAGAATTTGAAGTTTGTGGATTTGAGGGGTGACCTTTGACAAGGGTGAAAGGGAAGCACAGGAGTGGGGTGGGCTAACATTACCAGGCAGCTTTTCTGCATTGCTTCCCCCACCCCTGTTCCCTCTCTTCCTACTGCGTAGACTCGTGCCAGCTCCCCTGCCAAGATTCAGTGCTCCCAGATTTCCCTGACATCAGCTTTCAAAAATGTCTTCCTGTGCCCTACTTTCACTTTCATTTGCTCCGTTTCTGCTCCTTGCAGGGATTTTCCACTCACCAACTAACCCCAACTAGAAAGAAACAGAATTGAAATAGTTCATAAAGCAGATAGATAGAAATATTTCTCTAGCAAGGCAGGGAGTGTCCTTCACCTTCTGCAGAATCACATAATCATAGAATCAACCAGGTTGGAAAAGACATCTAAGATCATCAAGTCCAAGCATTACCTCAGGACTGCCAAGTCCACCACTAAACCATGTCACTGAGGGCCTCATCTACACAGATTTTGAACACTTCCAGGGATGGTGATACCACCAATTCCCTGGGCAGCCTGTGCCAATGTCTGACCACCCTCTCTGTGACTTAATTTTTCCTAATACCCTATCTAAACTCCCCTGGTGCAGCTTGAGGCTGTTGCCACTTGTCCTATCACTCGTTACCTGGGAGAAGGGACCAATATACAAAAAGCAAGTTTCTCCCTTATGTAGAAGAAAGGACGAATTAATGAAGATACAAACACAGCTTACGGTATGACTAACTGCAAGCAGGTATCCTTCTAGCAGACCTTAAAGCCAAGCCCACAAATAATGGAATCCAATGCTTTTTCTTTCCCCTTCCCTCCCAGTTCAGCAGCACCCCAGGAAAACCCGAAACGCACTGCCTCCCCAGCTTCCCTACTCACAGTCCCACTTACCAAGCTGCTCAGTCACCACCCTGGGAGCTGAAGGCATCGGCCGTGAGCTCACCAGTCAGATGAGCCTCTGAACCTTTGCACCACACGTGAAAAGTCCCCCTGGTGCAATCTAACCTTCAGAAATAAAATACAACTGCTCTGCAAGAGCTTCCCGTGAACTCCCAACTGCACATGTCTGTACCTCGCTGTCTCTCTCAGAGTCTCTCTCTGCAGGACGTCAGGGATGCCTCTCCACTAGCCACTGACCCTTAGGAAAGGGAGTTGAGTAATGCTTCCGGTTATTGTGCCACGTGCATGCATATCTGCCAGGCATGAGCAGACTGGCCAGGCACAGCTGATGGTTTTGACAGATGCATTAGTAAAATCAACATCCCTAAGAACCAGCATAGTTTATCCCTGTGAAATGGCATAGTTTATCCCTGTTTAGTTCCTGACGTCACACACCAGGACCTACCTTGAGTCAATTCCTTCCAGTGTCTGGGGATATTCAGGACCACCTCCTTTCAAGATTCCTGTTAGGAGCAGCTTCTGCTGAAGATCATTCTTTGACAGCCAAAAGCTGGAGTCCCCTTGCAAAGCGAACCCCAAATTTCAATGCAGAAAGTGGGTGCATCTCTTAACACACTCTCCCTGTTGGTTAGCTCACTGTCTGGGGGTGCTGAAATATGGAGCGCTGCATGGAGCAACCCAAAGCAGTGCAGACCAAGCAGAGAGCCCAGCAGGGCAGGCTGTCAGCCCCCACAGAGCTCTGTACCATCCCTCTTTACCTTGAAGGCTGAGCCTCTGCTCTGCTCTGCCTGCATGGAAATCAGAAACGTTAGAGCTTATCAGTTTGACCTCCAGCCTTTCAGTCTAAAAAGTTGACTGTTTCCTAGGAAAGCTGTGAAGCATAAAGCTTAACAACACGTCAAGGAATACTAACTACATAAACTTGTTCAGATGCAACCTTTATTTATTCTCCCTTGGTTACACAAACTAAATTCAGCTGAATTGCCCGGAACATTTTTATTTCCTGATGATCTAGTCAGACCAGATCAGTGGTGGCTGAAACACATATATCTCTATTTTAGTTTCTGGAAAGGCTGCACTCTGAGCGCATTTTATAGACACAATATTAAAACCCATCCCCCCAAAAAAACTCCAAACAAACAAAAAAAGCCACAAATGCGATTAAGAAGTTGAACTTTGTTTCTTCCTCATCTGGCCTTTCTTGACTGGCTTTTGACCTCCCATATAGTATCTGGCTCTCAGCTCCAAAATTGCACAACTTTTTATGCTTCCCTTTGACTGACGAGATTTATAGGATCAGGTCCCACAGGTTCACTTTCGCATATGTGAATTCTGTAGTAAAATACTCTCCTGAACTGAAGCCAAGAGCTTCAGCAGGCATGATATCAGCTCTAGGAAAAACATTCTGGCTTGGTAGAAAATGTTTACATGGCTTTTCTGGCAGCAGCACACCATCCTCTCTAAACACACAACTCGCCACAAACTGGAAACGAGCTCACTGTGAGCTGATATTTCCTGAACACTGTCCGTTTTAGTTTTGTCACTTTCAACTGCAATGTCACCTGCAGAGCTGCTAAACCTCTGATTTCTAACTGTGGTACTATATCTGTCTGCATTTTCAGTACCTGACAGGTCTTAGAGCAGACATCCTACACATAGCCCTGCAAGATTATACTCCTGCATAGTCAGCACAGGCACCCTAGTGTTGTTTCCTTGCATATATCAGATGATTTATCATGTATAAAATAACCATTGTCTGATGGGCAGGATTACTTATTTCTCCTCTCAGGAATTTTAATTCTTATTTCCTTTTCCTCTTTGGAGGCAATGGACGAGAAAAGGCATGCTTCCCTGCTTCACCCTTTCCATGTGTTTATCTGCAGACACACAGAAGCTCTGTTGCAATTTCAAACTGCTCCAAGGTTTGATGCATATGAGTACTGATGCTACAGCGAGGGCACACTGTGCTCACAGGGGTCCTGCAGCACAGGACCAGGCTAGTAGCACCTCATGCTTCTTTCTCAAGATGTGGAAAATCCCCCCAGCCAGTACCTGAGGGGGTGGACTCAGTCTATGTTTGGATGATGGGGCTCACCTGGTCTTTTGCAGGTTGGTTCCCCAGCCACCCACACCAGAGCCTGGTCATGGTGATGCTGTGGGAAGGCATGCCAGGGGGTTCAACTTCAGCAAAGTCCAGTGCAAGGGGGGAGCAACTCATGTCTGGGAGCCTGGGAACATTTCCAGCTCTCGTTTGAAACCACGTTATCATTTAAAGCTGGTACCTTTGAGTAGGTTGTGATGGTTTTCCCAGTAAGACTGGATTTCCTGTTGGACAGTGTCCAGCAGCGTCTAAAATCAACTGCAGGAGGGGAGGGGAGAAATGAGCAACAAGCCCTGCAACCAGAGTGCTGCTGTCCCAGCTTAACTCCGCAAAGGAACAGGAAGCAGTCATAACAAGAAAAATTATTCTCAATTGCTTAAAAAAAACACAGACAAAACAAGAACAAAAATCCAAACCAAAACAAAAAAACACACCAACCTCAACTTATTTGGTTCCAAATCTTGATGGTGAATTTTACAGTTTTCAGTAGATTACATTGGGTTTGTACTTTGGCTTTACTCTGAGTACATAAATGCTTGAAACAAAAGACTAAAAAAGCTCCATGTCCTGCTATTCCTCTCTCCAGCCACCATTAGAAGAGTCTCAGCATACTGGTTCCCATTTTTTAGGAAAAAACTAACAGTTAACTGATTGGGAATAGCCAGTTGCTGTTTTATCTGGACATAACATTGACACGTTAATAATGGAAACCAAAGTAATCCAACAATGGAAACCTTTCTTATGTCAATAGTTCAAATAAGCATCTATGTATTGATTCAGCAAGTCATTTGACTGCATATTTGAAGTTAAAGCTCTGACATGAAATCTTTCATGTCTTCTTACAGCACCAAAAGATGCACGCATTCAGGAATCTGCCCAAGTCTCATCTTACTAAAGTTGAAAATGAAAGTCACTGGAGTTGGGCCAAAATCAGGATTTTCATCTTCACTGGTGAGGACCAGGGCTAGGGAGGTGGAGGAAAGGTCAGGATCTACTTTATTATATTCTTGTTAATATTTAACTGGGTTTTTTTTTAAATGTGTTTATGCATTTTGAAAGGTCATTTCAGAAAAATAAAACTGAGAACTGAAAATTTCAATTGCAAAACAAAATAAGCTTATTGTGCTTATGCAATAAAACAAAGCAAAACATGCTCACCTTCCTTCGTTAATACTTAAAATTTCAAAGGGGTCACTTTCTGGTGAGCTAAGTTTAATCCCCCTGCCTCTTACTTTCCAATTCATCTACATTAAATCTAATTTATTCTCCCCACACATTTCCTTTCTTAATACTTGTCCACAGCATGGCTACTACAGCATTTCGGTTTGAAACCTGCATTTATCTTCCATGTATTGGACTCTAAGGTCTGCAACATACTCCCTCCCTCTATTTGCCAAGTTAGAAAACTAAAAGATAGTGTGAGTATACACACACGTACACTACTTTACTGAGGACTGGGCTAGGCTGCAAAATAGGATCTCGGTTTTGAAGACACCCTGAGGGCAAAGCACACTCATTTCACAGAAGTAGATTGTTCTGCTAAAAAAGAGGGGGGCAGAAAGAGATGCTATGCACTCATCCCAGTCCCGATCAGCAAACTTCGGAAGACTTGCAGCAGGGTTTTGGCTCAGGCTTATTCTCATTTGCAGCAATTAAAAGAACAGTACCATGGGCTGCTTTTGATAGGATCAAAGGTATCAGAAACGAAGTAAGTAGATTTTACATTCTTGTGTGAGTTCTGATGGTTTTCTCAGTAAGTCTTGATTTCTTGTTGGACTACTTCCAGCAGTAACTGTAGTTTATGTGTAAGATAATCTGAAAGAGGGGAGAAAGAAAAATGTTTAGTCCAGAGGAAGTCTTGAGATATGGCTAAAAGTCAGAGCATCAGCTGTTGGCTGGAGCTCCTTAAGTTAGCAGATCACTGTATCCATTTCCTTTCTTGCTGTATGTTTTCTTCAGCTCAGTGGTTACAGACACACCTCAGCCCAACACCAGATCAAAAGAAAAAAAGATTCATAAATGAAATTATAAATTAAACTCAAAACTGGACTCCTGTTTCTGAAAAGGTTATGCCACCAGAACTACACCCAAAGGAAATCTTTGCTAGACACTGCAAATAGTGAAGATGTCTCTCATTCATACACCCACATCTGTGCCACAAACCATCCTGGCTTCTTCACCAGACAGCCCTCAGGCAGCACTGCCTTCTGCTACTAGTCCTCTCCCCAGCCTTTCAGCAAGTATGTTTGGGCACGAGTTTACAGTCTCTACCTGTCAGTCTCTCCATCCTAACTTCTGATCTTGTTCCTCAGTGTCAGGCAAATTTGACGAAGAGGTGGTGATTCTGAAGATATGATAAGTTTAACAGAACCCAAGGGTCAGGATGTGAAAACAACCCTCCCTGTTGCCTGCTGATAAACATCAGCCCTGTCTTTCTTAAAAGAAAACATCAAGCTCACTTGTCAATATATTCACCAGTCAGGCAGACACGGTCCATACCTGGCTGCCAACCACCACAGGCAGCACAGCCTGCCCCCTTAGCTTTTTGGCTGCAGAGGCTGTGTCTTGAGAAAGGCATCAAAGGGGTGGTAGGGGTCATGATTTATGCTTCTTGAATTCTGTTGGTCATGGAGCAACTTGCATTACAGATGAGCCCTGAGACCAAACCAACATCCCCACCCCCTGGGTGTGTTTTTAGTTCCACGATACTCAACCTCAAATGCATACTTACATAATGGGCTACGGAAACAATCTGACATTTGCTTGTGGATTATGAGGTAGTAGACTGGAAAACCGCTTAAAACTATGGTGCATCCGATGCTAATATTCACAGGGTCTGAGTAGAAAGACATTGCCACTGTGAAGAGGCAGATGATGGTAAAAGAGATGGGAATGAACAGGGGAACCTGGAGAAAAGAGCACAGAAGACTCTCAGGCAAAATTGATGGCTGTAGCAAATCAGCCTCCATATGTACCAGTACACACCATATTAACTTCTCCATCTTAAAGAAGATGAGAGGAATCACATAGCTGCCCAGCTCACTGCTTCTGTACAACCAGATGCAAATTAGTAGAATGCATTGAACAAAAATTGACATGTACCACCTTCAGAGTCCAGTGCTCCTTGTGAGATGCATGAGTCACGTGACTCAGAGTATGACCCTCACCTGCAACTGGAAGCCAAGCAGATGGAGAAGGCAGCTGTACCTCACTGCCCTCTGAATTTGCTGCTCCTGTACATGCACATGCACACATACCGACTTGTCATGTGTGGCAACTGCTGGTGGAAAATCTGAAGTCAAGAGCAGCAGCAGCACTTTTAATCAAACCATTTTTCAGTTATGACACTCAAGATTCATTTTAACCTGCCTCCATCTTGCCAGGGACATATAGTGACCAAAACCAGATGCCCTATCTTCATAGCACCTGCATTAAGAACATCAGTTTCAACAATACCCTGATGAAAAGACCAAAGAAACAGTCAGCACTTCAGCCTTGCCCTGTTGGTTGAGCCAATTTGTCTGATTTATTTGGAGAGTAAAGTGTGGAAGACTGCAATAAATAATAAAACCGTGAAATATTCCCTCAGTCTTCAAATCCAACCTCAGCCAAGTTACTCTTTGCCAAGGCTGATGGAATGAAGGAGCTGCTGGTCTCATCTAGGGTGGCAATCTCTTTTCTAGTAATAGAAATCCTATTTTGGACCCTGCCAAGCTGGAAGAGATCAGTTGCTCTAGAGGTGGCAGCCATCCAGCCACAAAACTTACTTGCTCTTGCTGTCTTTCCATGTGGAGCATCCCCTGCCAGCCTCTCCTGTGCACACACACTCATGCTGCACATCTGCTTGAGAGGTGTGCAAGAGCACTGCTTCCTCCTCTTTCCAGTGTTTTCTCACCATTTTTAATGCTCAAAATGCTATAGGGGAGAAAAGTACTAGCAGAACTACAAGTAGTTTACGTTTTGCTCTCCGTAAGCCTGTGGCAGAAGACGACCTGTATCTGGCCACTAGAGGGCAGCACATGCCCACACCACCTGTGTTCAGCTCTTCCAGCTAACTGTCCGGCTGGTTTCAAGGGGTTATAGAATTAGGGAAAGGGGACAAAAAACCCAACCAAATGGACCAAATTTCCAGCATTTCCCTCCCTCACTTAATCTGCCTTTGTGAACCCTTAAAATCCTAATTCTCATCTAAACCACGACATCTGTCTAAAATAAATGGGGCAAAATGTCAGCAACTGAAAACATCACCAGTGCTATCCACTAATAAACTTCCCCTGAGAGACTGGTTTAAAAGAAAAAGAAAAGTTATTTAAATTCTGTTCTGGGCGAGTACACGAATGCAGCCAGCCGTTAAATTGGAAAGCTACAAGGTCTCTGCAAAACACACTGTCTCCAGCAAAGATGAAGAAGAAAACTCACCCTAAACTTTGCACCAGGCTTTGAACAACTCAGGGAGGAGCCCTGTGGGAGACGCAGGAAGCATTTCTGTCCCTGATCTTCCCACTGACCAGCAGCACAGCATCTGTGAGCAGAGAAGTCTCTCCCATGCAAGAGCTGGCTGGAGGCACCAGATGCGAACAAACTGCAAGCCAAACTGCATCAGCCAAACACCTGCACATTATGTGGCAATAGGAAAGGTGCCCTGAGCACAAGAAAGCTGCTCCAGCACCAACTCCAGCATCTCCAACCAATGCAGAGGATTCCAGCACCCAGCACCATGAGAAAGGCCACCAGAGAGGCCCAGTTGAGGCTAGGGAAAGGTATAAGAGGAGAAGGCGCCTTACACTTCGTGGCACACATTTATGTGCTGTGCACACACTCAGGACTTGTGGCAACAACAGTTGCACACAAGCTGCTCTACGCTACACAGTATTTTTGCTCCAGCAGATGATCCCCCTCAGGTCAGGTTTGCTGCCAGGATTCTTCTGGCCAGGCTCTTTTCCTTGTGGCCCGACTCCCTCCCACATCTCAGCTAGAGCTGAGACTTACCTGCCACTGAAATAACACCCAGGCAAGGGTCCCTCTGTGCAGCCCATGACAGATGAGTGTCCAACTGCCTTCTATGTATCTCCCAGTTCCTAGCCTGAAATTTTGCCCCCTGGAGCAGGCTGCCATTTTACAGATGTGACTGATGACACGACTTAGAACCAGCTTTATAGAATTGACCACATCTGACTGTTCACACACACCAATTTCAAGAGCTCCCCACATGCCTTACTGAGCAATAGGTATTAAGACTCCTTAGAGCCTAAGGGCAATCACAACCATGCACTGCTCTAATTATTAGCAAATACAAGAGAGAAATGTCAAGTCTGTGCATTCCTGGCTGTTAGATACATGCTGTGTGTTACCTTGAACGTGCTCTGCAGCTCTGGGTGACGGTAGCGATGGACAATGAGCCCAAGGGTGGCTAATCCTATGAAGAGCCACCGGGAAAAGCTGAAGAAGTTCAACAGATGATAGATGTCTCCGATACACACCATGGTAGTAACCAAAGGGAACTGAGCATTGTGAAGATAAAATACAGTCATTAAAACCTTACTGTGGTCCTTGGACTACAAAGGGGTAACATGGTTCACCTCCTCCAGTCCCCCTGCAATCATAGGCAGCTACTTCACAGCCCCAACATTTCAGAGGTCAGAGAGCTTTATAAAACAGTGTCACAGACTGAAGGCAAAAGGCCTAAACACACTATAATGATGTGCTACAGAAAGGAGCAATCCTTTCAAGATCAACAGCATCTTTGATGCTTTATGTCCCAAGCATGCATGATCCAAAAGACTCCACTGCCAGCACAAAGGCTACCTACAAAGATCTCTGCTAAGTTTTTAGCAGGTCAGCCAACCTGCAAGAGTCACTGCAGCACAGTTAGGGTGGAGGTGGACCATTCCTGAGGGAAAAAAGGAAACCATAAATCCCAGCTGAGATCACCTCTGCAAATGCTCCTTCCCTGCATTTCCACTACACCTGGGAATTTCAGTTTTCCAAATAGCCAAGGCCTAAGAGGTGTTTTCATAGGACAACATCAAACAGCAACTGTAGCAAATGGTAAGGGATGCACTTTTAAAAAAGCTGTCCAAGGCTATAAGGCAGGGACTTCGAGATAGTGAGTTTGAATACTGCTGCTGGCAGAAGATGCAGCCACTTTCAGTATTCCTCCTTCATTGTTTTTCAGAGGCTGATTTAGTGTCAACACACTTTAAAACTCCTCAGCTGCCACAAACTTTGCAAGAAAGACAAGACTGGAACAACAGGGTATGCAACACAGTCAGATCTCCTTACCATTAACATGACAGCAGGAAGGGGTGTATGCCTTCGGATGTGGATCATGGAAAAGAGAGGAGGCCACTGTCCTTCCCTGGAAGCCACAAACAGGGTCCTAGGAAAACACAGGGAGCCCTGTGCATTAGCACCACACTTCCAGACTAGAAGTAAGATCTGGGTTGACCTGAGGCCACAAGGTACTGTCCCCCAGCACAGGTCTGCCTTTAGCCACACTTTTGGGGCTCGTGGTAGAAAAGCCCAGTGTTGAATTCCCATAGCTCTCCCAGGACAGTTCAACTCAGCACAGAACCCACCAGCAGGACCACTGGCAGCATCCCCTCAGGTGGCCGGTTAGTAGAGACCTGTGAGCAGGTCCAAAGTGATCATGAATGAGTCCAGACAGGAAATAGAAGCAAAACAGTTTCCTGCCATCAGAGAATGGGCTAGTTTTTCCAGTAGGGAGTGAAGGGGTCACAAACTGCAATTCTTCATGAGAGAAGATCATGAATTTGTGAAAAGGGATTGTCAGTCTTGATGTCTATATTTTTCTCTCTCTCTATAAAAATATATATTTTATATATTCAAATATATATATAAAAGAAAATAAAGTGTAGTTTCCACAAATAATAGAGAAATTTCAATCCTTTGGCCAGCTGTTGGAGAATATAGCTTGGCATAATGCCGAGAGGCCAGCTACAAAATGACAGAGAGATCTCCTTGCCTGCATCTTTCCTTTGACTCATGAAAGGGCAATTAGGGAGAAGACATTGCATCTAATTTTATAAATTTAATATCCCCAAACAAACCATGCCAGAGCATCAGCTGGGCTGGAGCAGGGCCCAAAGCAGCTGGGGCATGAGTGTAAAATTGGTTTTATAGCTGTCTCTGTGCTTTTGCAGGGGTGTGACTGGCCAAGAGCCAGGGAGGCCCCATCACTGTTTATATGGCCTTTCTGCGGTGATTATGTTAATGGTGCCAAGATGGGGGAGAGAAAGGCGATAGGGACATGCAGAATCTCTGTGCTGCCCAGGGACTTCTCATCCTCAAAGAAAACTAGGATCTAGAGAAGCTAACGGGGAGGATTCTCCCCACTTGTATATAATACAGGACTTCAGGGTAGTGAATCAAATAACTCATTACCTTTTGTGCTATGATACACCCCTTTCATATCAAGGGATTTTTCCTTTTGCAATCAAAGCTATGAGACAGAACTAGTTCCAGAGACTTTGCTCAGCTCCTTGGGACCAGTATGATGTGCTTCTCCCTGGGCTCTGCCCTTCTCTCAAATTTCAAGGCCCCCATAAGCACATGCAGTGTAGCAGCCAGTGAAGCTGGCAAGATAATTTTTTCATGGAACAAAGCTCTTCATATTGCTACGAGACTTGCTGAGCCTCACCTTCTGCTTTAGGAATAGCTTGTTCCTGATAACATTTTGCTGACCTCAAAGCAAAGTCCTCAAGAGAGAGTTTGCCTCTGGCCAGAGATCGTCATAACAGAAGGACCCTGTGCACTGCAGTGGAGCAGCTGAGTGAACCCAGCAAAAGACGACTCAGTCTCTCTGAGAAGCTGCCAGCATCAACAAAGCCTCCAGTTCATCAGAAACATTGACATTTCACTTTAAACTAAGGATTTAAACTGAAGCAGGGGGGGAAGAAGTTAGAATATTCGTTTGTGACCAGCCCTAGACACCAAAATGTGGACCTGGCCAGAAGTAGGTAGGGTAACTCTTAGCCAAAAGGGATCATCATGTAATTGGTATCCCAGGAGTCAAAGGCCTTATTTTCCCTCATGGGCAGCTAAAATGTTACTGCTTGGATGGGCAGTTGCACAAGTTGCTGGTGTTTCCCTCTGATAATGTAAGCCAAAAAACTAATAAATTCTTAGGGACACAACCTTGAAAACGTGAAGATTCCTCCATTCATGGTTCCAAAGCATGACAGCGAGACAAGGATAGGGATTACGGAGGTCAAGCTTTTGAAGGCTTGTTGAGCAAAGCTCTGGAGGAAGAACAAATGTGACTTTAGGAACATGTAGAGATCTCTAGGCAATATTAGATTCAAAAGAGAAAAAATTCCTTCACTGAAGGACTAAAACATAATACATAAATCTTGCCTTTTCTACTGTCACTGCAGGTTATTTTCCATTATCTTTCAGGCAAGACTAGAAGAAGTTACTGTTACCCAATAATCCAAAGAAATGAGAAAGCAATAAAGCATTTTATAGGAAAACCATCTCCAAAACACTTGTCATGACCACCCCTTCAGTATAAGATGACCACACTGAAGAAAAGTAACAGTAGGGGTGACAACTCACCACAGCCACAGCAGGAGAAGCCAGAACGTCTTGTGTTTCCAAGACTGTGTAATAAGAGACATTGGTGAGCATGTACCCCACAATTACTGTGATCACAGACACGATGACAGCCAGGGGGATGTTTCTACAAGAAAGGGAAAGAGATGCACACAAAGAACAAGCTCTTATCCCTTGTTACGCACAGTATTACTGCAGATTGCAGCTGGCATTGTTCAGATGAACCCACAAACATATTTCCTCTTGTACTGTGTTTGTGAAAGTCATGGTACCCCAGAGACTGGTAACCCAAGATGACTTCTTCCCAGCCTTACCGTTCAGGTCTGACCAACTCTTCACGCACAAAGCTGGTCTGGAACCTGTATGGTGGGGACAGAGACAGAGTTTGAGTCATGTCTGGGACACCAGTCTGCTGCCCATGAAGCACCCATCCTTCACACCTACCAGCCTGAATACGCGAACATGCCTGCATAAAAAGCCAGGGGAAGTTTATCCAAAACCAGGGACTGTCTGTCAAAAGCATCCTCGAAGTTCTCAGTGTGGCCTACAGAAGAAACGAACAATGGACACAGGGCAAGGAAACATCAGAGATAAGCTTCCTTGCCACAGGATAACACCTCTTGTACCTCTTGCCCAGACCAAGGAGGAGTGTTTGTGAGTTCCTTGGAGCCAGGTATTCGCATTCATTTCATTGCTTTAATTTGCAGTGCTGTGCCAATGCATTTACCTTACAGAGACAGAACAAACCATTCCCGTCCAGCTACAGGAGACATTTCAGGAAGGGCAACGTCTGGTTCTTTTTGAGGCAGAGCCTGCTGTGGCAGCAGGAAATTGTGGAGATGAGTGGACCTAAGTTGTCCTTGTCCTTTCTTTAGGTCCAAAGTTAATTTGCCGGGTTGACCCCCCTTTTTGTTCCCCACAGCTCCCTAAGCAGCTGGATGCACGCTCCTCTTTGATGTGGTGCAGCCAGCAAGGCAGCTGATTTGGCTCTCACTGTGCTCCCTCCTGATCCTGCTGCCAAAGGGCTGACCCCAGCCCCACGCTGGCCAGAGCATGGAAACCAGGGTGGAGGAGGGAGTGGAAGCCAGGAGCCTGGCCACCTGCTCTGGCAAGATCCCTGCCCACCTCCTGAGGCTCGCCAACAGTAGAAGGACTGAGGATACACAAAGCAGAGCAAATATAATTTGAAAGTAGAGGAGGCTCAGGTAAAGGTCCTGTTTTACCAACTCCCCCAGTTTTCCTAAAAATTCTCTGCTTGAAATAGCAACAGTTGGGATTTTGGATGTGAACCATAGAATAGGTTAGGATTGGAAAGGACTTGAAGATTATCCAGTTCCAGCCTCTGTGCCATGGGCAGGGATGCTTCACAGTAGACCATGTCGCCCAAGGCTCCCTCCAACCTGGCCTTATTTTATCAAACTCCAAAACTAAACAAATCCCTAGGGAAGGAAGAAACACCTAATGGTCTCTCATTCAGAGAAAGACCAATAAAAAACTCAGTCAAAAGGATTTGCATTTTCAAATGCAGGTGGTCCAAGATTTGGTTCCACATCTATATTCAGTTCTTCCTAACAAAGTATCTTTAAAAGTAAAAGATGCAGAGCTTGCATAGTTGTGCTTCTCCAGGAAAGGAATGAAATGGCAACCAAACACAGAGGAATTCAGGCCACTTCTGTGAAGGTGCCTCTGCAAGGAGCTCTGTGATGAGATTTAGGCATTTGGGTTTGAAACGCTGGGCTAGCAAGTCTCTAAAATAAACCTGAGCCAAAAGAAAGGTAACGGCAGAGGAAAGGACACGAGTGTAACCAGAAAAAGAAGAACAAGAAGGCAGGGCAATCAGGGAAACTCATTTAAAAGCACAAAATCGATTTTAAAAGAAAAATAAAAAGGAAAATAGATTTGAAAAAAATGAAACAAAAACATGGGAGTGGGCCTATCGAGGTAGGGTTTTTTATGTTCTAAAACGATTGCTGATAAGTGATGGTGCATAAGAAGGATTTATTGTCTGCATTACATTAATGAGTGATTTAGAGTCCCTCATGAATCACATTAAATGCAACCTGTCATATTGAGGTCTCTTCATGAATTCTCCCTCCAGATGTCACAGGCGTTTATCCTCCTCACTGGAGGATGGGTGCCAGGGCTCCAGATTGTCATTTAAAGGCATTCCTAACAATAATGGCTCAGGATTACTAGCTGCAGGGCAGTCCTCCAGAAGTGCTGCCAGCCCAAGGGGATCTTTGCATGTTCAAAGGAGCCAGCACCAGACACCAGAAAGAAACAAGAACGTGGAGCCTACCGCCTGTGTTGTTTTCTCTGCAGAGGAAGGTAATAGCATAAAGCAGGAGCAAGCTCTATCCCTTGAGCAGGAATGCCTTGGGCTTTTCTATAAACTGAGGCTTGGATTAAAGCACTTAAAAATACTCTTGAATCATTCCCAGAAGATGCCACTGTCAGGTTTGTTTCTTTTCCCCACTCTGATGTGAGTATGCAATCTAGTCTGCAATTCTAACTTGGCAAAAACCCACTGTGAGTTTACTAAGTTACCACTCTTCTCTATTAGAAAGTAAAAACCATTAGCTTAAGCCACAGAAGGGTTAGAGATGCTGTCACCAGGGCTCAGCTATGAGGGGTGGTAACTCATTACACAGCTGTGACTGGCTCAGGTCACCAAGGGATGCTGTCACACACCCCTGATGTCCATCAAATTTGTGCTGTTTTGGAAGGATTTCAAACCACACTGTAAACAGGCCAGTCTGATGCCAAAGAAGGACTGCCTGCAGAGGAAGGTGCCTGTATGACCTCTCAGGCTCACACTGCCTCAAGCACTGAGGCTCACTCAGATTTGGAGAAAGCACAGCTGAGCCAACTTCATAAGTGCAAGATACAGCTTAGTGCCAGCTACCCTGGTGTCAGCTCCCAGCTGATTCACACCCAGCACACAGGCAGAGAAGGCTCCTGCCAGCTAAATGAGTAATACCTTGTCACTAGGGACTGATAAAAGCCGTGTCAGGCAGGCATGTCGATCACCCTCCCTCAGCCACACAACAGCACACCTACCCTGGGCTAGCAGCATCATCCCTGGCACGATGATGAGTGCAAGAGCCAGGAGTTTGACAACGGAGAGAGCTGTCTGCAGCTGGCCACTCCAGGTGACGCTCCAGGAATTGAGGGCGAGGATCATGTCTGGAGAGGAGACCACACTGCTACATCTGTAGCCCATGCTCAATGCATGCAGGAAAAAATACAGCATCCTTCCTCTAGGAATGACAGGGAGGAGAAGGCTGTGTCTTTGCAGAGAGGATACTTGGGGTGAGAGATGTGAGAAAACATGACATGTGGTGCAGCATACAGCATTCGGAGGGGGAGCTGGGTTCTGCTCCTAAGCCTGGCTCCTGTTGGGTGGTCTATGCCTAACTAGAGGGGAAGTGGGAGTTTGCAGGGACATCTGTCCCAGCAGCCCCCTTTCACCAGGGTCTTGAGCCAGCACACACCAGCCAGAGCAGGCCAGGACAGCTTCACAGGCTGGGTGCACAAGGTGAGGAGTTCAAAACCTCGAGCCTTACACCCTCAACCGAGGTCACATTTGCACACTCATTCATGAAGAGCTGCTACTCTGGTATTTGGCACAATTCTCCAGCCTCAGGCAATAGATGGTCAACAGGGAGGCCTATTCCACTTTTTGGAGAATATAGTGGCTGCAAACCAGCACCTTGGATAAGGAAGTTTTGGGTGGCAGAGTACTTAAGATAGGGCCCCATCCCACAGTTATCCCAGAACATATCATCCCATAAGTGCCCCTGGTCTGGGGCAGAGAGGCTCCAAGATCAGCAGTCCCATAACAGTTAGTACTTACAGTACCCTAGGAGAGACACAAGCTTCACAGCAGGGACAGGGGGTGCACAGGGGGCGAAAAATGGCTCCAGCATGTAGCTTCCAAACGCCAAAGAAATAACAGCACTGTTGGCAGGCCTGTGGAGGGAACCGAGCACAAGCTGTGGTCTGCAGACAGCCAAGAAATGGCATGATATAAAACAGCATAAAACTTAGGAGGGGAGGTTTCCCCAGCCAGCCTAATCCTGCTGACCCATGCAGATGGTAAATTCCCATTGAGTCTTTTTGATAGATTTTTCTCAGTAAATGGGTTAAAAATTACATATTACCAAAAGATTCGTGCCCAACTTGAAAGCAAAAGTCAAGATTAATCATACTGAGCAGTGCAGTGGGGTTAATACGTCCTTCTTCATCTCAGCTTATGTGAAGGACACAGGTTATTGAGAGGTGAGGACTTTCTTTTTAAAGTTAAAAAAAGAAGTAATTTACAAGTTTCTAAAATATTATTTAAGTCAGAGCTGAGCCAGAAAGTTGTCTCCACAGGACAAATCGAGAAAGTTTCACAGGAAAACAAATCTGAACTAAACCTGGCATTCATTGTTAGTCTAAAAAATACCATGGCTCTTGAAGGATACCAGCTGCCACGGGAGAGATAGTCTTCAACTACAGATCACATTGAACATGTGTAACTATTAACTCATGATACCTTCTTGTTTTATCACTGAAAACCTTTAAAAGTTGTTCAGATTGTTCCTACTCTTTCCTTTAAAAACTGCCTAGACTGTTACCTGGCACAGTAACTTTGGGGTATTTTTAAATCATCACAGCATCCGGCAAAAGGCAAACAAAAAAACCCCTCTTACCTAATAGCAAAAAACTCTGCCCACAGAAATAAGAAACTTGGCAGACGCCCTAGTGTCTCCAAAATGTAAATATAATGTCCTCCAGACTTGGTGATTCTTGTTCCAAGCTCTGCGTAACACAAGGCACCTGTAAAAGTCCAGGTAGGAATGCACTGAGTAAATCATCCCATGGATTTTCTCCTTTCTGTATGACTTTTCAGGGATTGAATGAATCTGTTTAAAATAAGTAGGGAATTAGAGGAAGAAAATTTGGAATAGCAGAAATACTCTTCCCTATTTTCATGTGCTACAGTGTTTTGAAGTAAGTTTTGAAGTAATCAACTTCTCTGTCAGAAGGAAAGAAATTCTCCATTTTCTAGTTACTGATGCAACTTTTCCATGGAAGTTACGTGGAAACATGTATGACGGAGACAGTGCGCTAAGCTATAAAAGGTATGTTTTGAATAATGTCCTGGAAGTTTGGATTGTCACTTCTCACAGACTGGTGAAATGGTGCTTCCCAGGCAGTTACAGCAGCTCAGCCAACAGGCCGTGGCTGAACTGGTCATTTCAATCATGTTTTTGACCACATATCATATTCCTATGTCATTATCTCGTATCTTCACATAAATCCTTCCTTCAAAGACACTAGAGAGGGGAGATGCCCTTCCAGGTGAAGAGGGAAGACCTGGCACTGGAGGAAAACATAACCCCAAGGGTGGAGAGCAAGAGAAGTGTCTATATGAGAGGCTCAGTTGGTCTTTTCTCGCATGTCCATGTATGAGTGTACTGACAGACATGGGGACGGCCTGCTCCTGTCTTAGCAAGTGCTCTGTGCCTCCCTGCCCCTGCTCTGGAGCCCAACAAGAAACCATGAGAGAGGTGAGCCATAGAAGACAGCTTAAAGCTTTTAGGAAAATAGATAGAAACCTACATGCCTCTGCCTGTGCCAAAACCAAAATCCCATCTGTGTTTTCTCCATAGAGCAATTCACCGTGCCATTTGAACATATCCAAGTACAAATTTTAAGCACTGTCTACACTGGATTCACTTGTGAGGTTAAACATCCACCACGTATCTCAAAACACCTCACTTCTATAAGCACAACTCCCCCTCTATAATGATATTTGACCCCGTGGGGTGAGTACGTCTGTAGCTGTGCTATATACTTCTTTGCCCAGCTCAGCTTCTAGCAGTGGAGGGAGAGTGCAGTGGCAGAGGAACCCAGTGGTCATATGGCCATGCTTCCAAGTCCAATGGTGATTGTGCCATATGCAGGTCGTGCCAATGGTGAGGACCTCAATGTTTCCCCACCTCATTGTTGGTAAATCTGTGCAGAATCACTGTTCAAAGTGTCAAATAGAGAAAGGCACATCATCTTATACATTCCAGTGGGTCTCTTTACATGATTCAAGTGTGCAGTTGAGTGCTTTGCTGAACTTACGCTATCAGACTTGTATAAATGCTGTACTTGAAAAAAAAAAAAAAGCCTGAAAGAAAGCAGTCTTTTTTAATTTACTGCAAAAGACATGTCAGAGAAATAATCAGGAGAAGTAACCAGGTTGATAAAAGGGAAGAACACACCAACAGATTTGGCTACAAAATACAATCATTTGATAAAGAGGCTCCCAAAGCCCTTCCAGCAGAGTCTATCAAAGGATACAATGAAGAGAGGAAACCTTTCCACTTGGAAAAGCAGAGCTCAAGTTATGTAATCAGCACACACATTATCATTTACTGCTCAATTGAAAGAAACACCATGCTCACATTATATTTTAAGATTTTCTCTAAGCAAAAGTGTATAATTTGCCAAAAAAGAACACATATAGGCTGCAACATGAAATATTGGTACACATATGCCAAGAGTAAGAACCACACTTGTTGCCGTACTGACAACGGAACGTCTCAGTTTCCAAACTTGTGTGTACATGCGACAGTGCCAAAGTGTGTTCTTCCACATGGAGTATTTCTCTCTTCTTGATTTTTTTGTTTTGGGTTGTTTGGGGCTCTCTCCCCACACCTCCCAGGTTACAACAGAAGAACTATAAAGTCACAGACTGAAATAAACATCAGATTTCTTCCCAGAGCTGACAGATCTTGCAGTTCTCCTAACAGCACCTTTAGAGAATTTCTGAGATGGTGATTTTATACAGTTAATAAAGGACACTAAAAGCCACTCATTTTATCCATCACAACTTTAAGAGCTACAGTATTTCAGAAGAACTAGAATGAAATTGTCCTCAACAGTTAACCCTTTGTGAGAAAAGACTGGTACTAAATGATGCCAGAAACCAAGCCAGAGGTAACGCACAGAAAGCAGGGCTGAACTGATCTGCTCTATCTCCTGCTCCAAGGCAGCATCGGACACTTCCAAACCATTTTTGACAAGCACCCAAACACCCATCCCTGGATGGTGGATACTCCACAGCTCCCCAGGCAACCTGCTTCTCTATCCTCACCCACAGAAAGGGGATCCCTTCTGGAATATTAAGACTGTCCCTTCTTGCCCTTTTCACAGTGTCTGTGAAAAGCACTGCACAGCCTCCAGACTTACAAGTGTTTTGGGTGCCTGCATCTCCTTTCCATATGACAGGAGTCCCCTTATTTTCTTCCAGCTTTCCTGGCAGAGACCATGCTATCTCCATCTGCAGTCTTTGTCACACTTCTGCCCTGGACATGAGCATTATTTCATATTCACAACCATAAGTGCTGTGATTTTCTCTGTCACCCCAGTGAAACGATTTGAATGAAGACCCCTGGTGACATCCCAGCTTGTTATGTTTCTGTTGCAGCAGGAACAGGGAACTTCTGAATTATTTTTCTCCCAAGCTTTTATACATAAAAATGTGCTACATCCCCTCACTTTCCAGTTGCTTAAGCAAAGGCTGACAAAGCTTACTACTCACCAAACATTGAAAGGACCCCACAGGCAAACCAGACAACCAGGGACAAACCCACGCTGCCAGAGTTTTTCAGCACTCCTTTTGGGGAGATGAAGATGCCACTGCCAATCATACTGCCGATGAGGAGTGAGAAAGCCCGCAGCAAAGTTATCTTTTTCCTCAGAAAGACAGGCTCCTGTTCCTTCTTGTCTTTCCCCATGGCTTTCTTCTAATCCCAGAAGAAGATCATGCATTCAGAAACTACAGACTCCCAAGTGTCCCCAAAGATCACCTGTAAAATGAGGGGAGAGTAAGGGATTCAGGGGTCATCTTTTCCAGACAAGATTTTTCACAAAAACCTGTCAAGATCTGTTGAATCTGTTCTTCTCAGGTGCTGGATACACCAACCAAACCATAAGTGCTTATAACACACTCAGCACCACCTCACATCAGTACAGCTCCTAAGAGGGACTGTTTTCTGCCTCTTATGCCAAGAAGCACAGAGCATTGCAAGTTGCATGGCACACTTCAGGGTGTGATTGTTGAATTCAGCTCTGATGCCCAGACTGGAACTGGCCAGGTTAGGGTTAATTTAATGGAAACTGATCTGGGGAAGATACCAGCACACTGTCAGAAAGCAGATTTCAAGTTGCAAACCTAATAGTCAAAACCTTGAGGACATCTGAGTTTAAATTTGCTTGTTTAGGGTGTTTGTTTTTTTGTTGAGGAGCAAATTCCTCTGTCAGTTGGGGTATACAGATGTTTGTTTTTTTTAGCTTCTTATCCATCCTTGCTTGAATAAACAAACCCTGACTTTCTCATTAGGGCTTCATTTTATCAGTGTTTCTCAACATATTGTCAAGCCTTTTCACTATCAGATTATTGAAGAGTCAGGAATAAGTACTGCTTACAATTGCAAGACAGAGGACAGTCATCACTATCAGATGTGTCATTTCTTCTATTAATATAAACTTTATTCGTAATAACAGCAGGAGTGAAGCTTTCCCTAGGAAACGGGGAACTTCGGACACTCCAGGGATCACACGAGTTGATCCAGATCTAGTTCTCTCATGCCACAGCAACCTCCCACTTCACTGACTTGTCTCTCCAACTCTTTTTCTCAGTCCTAGCCTTGCACCTTCACCAAGAAACTCACCTTCTGCTTAGGCAGGTAGGATGAATTCACATCAGTTACTATAGTCTAATTTGCAGTAGCAAACCTGTTTGTAGTACTCCTAACACCAAGGTAGACATTTTACACTGCTAATTAACAGCAGAGCTCATGGTAGAGCAGACAGAACAGGTCTGGAACAGATAGTTTGGCTATCCAATGCTCACATACTCAGCTTTAGTCGGTTTTTTTCATTACTCTAACCCATTAAGTTTCAGTATCATGAATATTTGCCCCTGCCTTGTGACTGTATGCTACTGCAGTTACACTGTACAAGAGATAATATTTTGATGATTTCTTCAGTTATTTAATAATTGCAGTGGTGTGCCCAAAAGCAAGCAGCAGCCACCTATAGAAGCAGATCTAAGCAGCCAGAAATTACTTCCTCAATAGTTGGTGCTTTCCACCCTTAGATACAAATGTCCCCATAACATTAAGGGGACAGTTCTTGTTATCACTCATCCATGATACTTCTTTGTATGCCCTGTATAAACTCAATAAAACTAAGGGCTTCTCTCCCCCACCCCCAGCTATTTTCCCACCTGGAAACTGTCAGGAAGAAGCAGGGTTATCACTTTCTCCCCACACATATGACCAGCACATGCAGAAAGCCCTCTCTCCTGCCAGCAGTGTTAGTTGGTTTCTCTGAGATTGCGCCCAGCCTGCACAAGCATCTTCTCAATCAAAGCAGCCAAGTTTAGCTATTAAACCTCTAATGAGTCCCAGAGGACTCCTCAAGGCTCAGATGGGTCACATCAGCCTCCTCTGGTCCCTCAGAGCTGCTCCTCAGAGTCCCAAAACTTCACAGGGCTGCTGGAGACAGCAGTTCCAGAGGGACAGGGAAAGACCCCTGGGAGATGACTTCCCGAGCCATCAGCTGCAGCTCCCTAAGACACTAATTAATTAGCTCACATGAAATACCGATATCATCTGGTATTTCTCAGCCGAAAGGAGAACTGCAGAGCATTCATTTGCGATGGTGAAACAGAGGGCTTATCGAATTGAACCCAACTGAAAAGAGGTGTTGCGCACAGCTATGTCTAAAATGCTGTTATGAGATAATTAAAAGGGCACTTATCTGTTTGGCTGGGTTTTAAATAAAGCAGGTGCATTTAAAATCCATCAGGCCCCCAATTCTTGCTGGGATCCCAAAGCAGCAAAAGACGGCTCCTCTTTGCAGGCTCTGAAATTAAAGAAAAAGGGGGGCAGGGGGGAGGGAGAAAAAAAAATGGAGAGATCAAATCAAATTTACAGACCAGGTTAACGATCCAAAGTAAATACCAAACTCCATACTTCTGTCCACATGCCTCTTTCTTTTTTTTAATACTCTTGCCATGCAAAAGCATTTGGAGATTAAACAGTCCAGTCCAGTAATCTATCAGGACTTGTTCCAGAAGCTCTTGAAGGAAGGAGGGAAAGAGTAACAGAAAGCTATTGAATAGCACTTCAAAGAAACAGCTATCAGAGCCCACTGCCTGGAGAGACCATTCCTGCTTGCTCCACTTTCCAGCTACATTCCAGCACCAGGCACATTAAAATGCAGCGATGCTAATCCTGTGGCAATGCTTAAGAATATTCACAATGTGCTTAGCACAAAAGAAATACACAAAGCTGCTTTTTGTTCACCCGCTTGATTTAAAGAAGAGGCTCAAATTCTTCTCTGTCCCAAAATGCAGCACCTTTGCATGAGCTCATCATCCAATCCAGCAGGACTGGAGAAAAACCAACCCATTTCACAACTTCTTACACCTGCTGGATCTTTACTCCCTTATTCTTTATCTTTACCGATTTCTTTATTTTTATTTTTTAGCTGTTAATCTTACCTCACAGGCACTGCAGCAGGGTTGGAGATGAAGGAGACAAGCGTAAAGGGAAAATCGTATTTGTTATTCGTGGTGGCACCTAGAGGCCCCAGCACAGAGCAGGACTCACCGTGATCAGTACACAGTACACAGTACAAAGGCAAAGTTGATGTTACACTGCTGAAAAGCTAGAGATATAAACAAGCAAGTTAGAAAAAGCAGAGGAGGAAGAAATCATCATTCTCAGCTGGGCAGCTGAGACCTAGAGCAACTAGTGACCTTCCTCCTCCTATCACATGGGAAGTGTGTGGCACCCCTGAGAAACAAATCATACCTTCAGAATCTCAGTTCAGTGACTTATACCCAAAAAAAACCCCACCCAGCTACTAGGGAATACTCCTAACTGTTTACAGCTGTATTTTCTTTGTATGGGCCTCAATCAATTCCATACAGCCAAGAACAGGTTAACCCCTTCCTTTTCCTACAGCAAAAGATGCAGGCATCAAACCGTTCTCCTCAGTCCCACTGTTTGTTTATTGTTTTGGTGCCAAAAATGTCACTCTCATTCAGTGTCCACCACAAGGCACAGGATCTAACTAAATAAAATCAACAGTGAACAGAAGCTTTTTTTATTCATGCATGAAAGCAGCATAAATAAGTTTTAATGAGACTGGTGGTGGTCTGTTCTGGGAACTCAATCAGAAAATCTAGTTAGGAGAGCTGAGAGATGTTTGTTTATACACCAAAATGAACACAAGAAAAAGGCTGAAAAGACAAGACATGCAGCTTCTTTTCAGTTTTCTGCAGCTGGTTTACCAGTCCCATGAAGGAACTGAAAGGGACAGTGGTTAATAAATCAGACTCAGGCTTGCAGCCCGAGCTGCAGTAATAAATCCAGGGTGATTGCCTGAGGTGTGAATGTAAGAACCGTTTCCATCTGGTCCTCTTTGTACAGTTTCACAAATTTAGTCTCATGAGTTGTCTGTCTAAAGACTGCCATTTCCTAATGTTTCTTTCTTAATGAAAATATTTTTAAGCCCTGACAGTAAAATGGTTCTTGGCTCAGGTCACACCACTTATCATTTCATTTAAGCATTTCCAGCTGTCCTTTGGACAAGAGTCACTTTTTCTGGAAAACAGACTGATGATGTGATGAGCCTGGACCTCTTGATGATGTGATGGTGACCTTTTAATTGAAAACCTAAAAAGTGTTGAATCCACGCTTTGGTTCTTTGGCTAAGAATTAGACTAAACTGAGCCTGGTTTACAAGCAGCAAAATTCCTGTTGCTTTCACAGTTCCTTCCTACCAGGCTTTATATCCTACACCAAGTTTACAAATTCTTTTCTATCACCACTCTGCCAAAGCAGGCACTACAAGTGGAGATGTTTTAACAATTGTAGCACTGATTCACTTCCACAAGAGGTACAGATTACATGATGTCATCTCACTCTCCAACTGCCACAAGAAACTCGCACTTATTTGCATCCAGAATTCATTTTCCACAAATGTTGTGCAGGAGTATTGTTTTTTTCATGAGCATTTTACTTTCATGGTGCAAAACCCAAATATGGGAGACACACACACCTGATTAAGACAGATTCAACTCTTCTATAGCACCAACTATTAAAGACTATCAGAAAAGCACACCAGCATCCTGTGAAAGGAACTAACATGATTTCCCTTTCTTACAAGCAGAAGGGAATACCCCAGGCACTTGTCTCTTTGCCCATTGGACCCAAAGAAGAAGCGCCCATAGGACAGACACTGGGGCACATAAATCTTAGGGAGGGGAAAAAAAGCCACTTAACAAGGAGACTGTCTCACATAGAAGGGCTTCTTAGGCCAACATCTTGGCTCTGTAATACCTCTTGCGGGGCACAGTGTAGGGAACTGTCCTTAGAGCTTTGCTCTTTTGTGGACATCTCTCCAAGAAGCAAAGCTGTTTTCACTCTCCAGACCAGACCTCCTCCCTGGAACAAGACAATTTGTCCTATTTGAAACTGTTTTCTTAGCTGCGTAAGTCAGAACACAAACAAAAATAAATCTAAACATCTCTAGCAGAAGAAACCCAACAGAGAAGCCTAATGCTGTAGCTGAGTACAGCCAAAATTTTCCCAAATGAGAATTCTTCTTAACCATTTCAAATAAAAAAATAACAACAATAATCCTATAATACAGGAACATTCCCCCTCCTCCCAGCAATCTGTCACACTGAATCAACCCTGTGGTCTGAGGGTTAGTGGGCTTTTGATGTGGAGCTGGGCAGTGCCAACAACCGACCGCCCTCCTCCTTGCAGCAGAAAGTCCTCCATGAACCAGGTCCTTGGTTTACCTCTTGCACTGCCTGAGAGCTACAGACAATATTGCTTCCTAGGCACTGCTCGGTGACTTACGAAGAACAAGCTTAACAGCTTCAGGCTGCTCACTGCGGAACCCATCCCTGAGGATGCTGGTGTGAGGAGCTGCTATGGTGGGGGGATTTTACCAACACCGATATTCCCATCATTGGTAAAGCCAACTGCACCATCATCCACAACCACCCAGCCCTTTTGAGTGGCAGACTAACCCCAAAGCTTTCCTTAAAACGGTCTTCAAGAGCAACTCGCACATCCTGAATGGGGGAAATGCCAAAACGGCCATGCTCATCACCAGCTTTCCTCCCCACAAATGGAAGCTGGTTTATCCTGCCATGGAGACAGCTCTCAGTGCAGAGGAAGCCCTCCTCTGCTTCTGCTATTGTCAGATGTTGGGCCCCATCCAGTGGGGGTTCCTGGAATACCCCTGCTTGACCCACCTGGAACTGAAACCTTGCGGAGCTGACTGCAGTCATAAAACCCCTATTTCCATATTGCCTCATATATTACACTGATTTCCCCTTAGCTGCTGATTTATCACACCAGGCCTACAGCTCCCCTCAGCTCCCTCGACCACAGTGCCTGGCTTTCCTCCTTCTCTTCCTGTCTTGAAACATTCAAAGCCAACAAGCCTTCATTTCTGCATTAGCCACTCACTCCGATTGCTGCTCCCTGCCTACCCCATAGCTAATCCTCAGTGTTCTGTGCTAAATCACCCACCCCAGTACCTGACTTGCACAGGGCCTGAACTTTGCCTCTAACCTACCTCAGGGTGGGGGGCTCTCTCCTTTGGGCCTCTCTGCTCAGCTGTTACTCATTTATTAAAACACAAGCCAAACATACAATTATGCTGGAGGGAACACATTTCCTTGTTAACTCTTCCTGGCTCCTACCCAGAGTTTCTTAGGCCATGGGGATTCATATTTTAGTACGCAATGTTTCAGATTGAGTGCTCACTGTTCCCCACGACTCTGGTGGAAGGAAGGGGGACAAGGAGGGCTTTCTGTGACCAAAACCACTACCTCATCCCGCGTAAGACAATGCACAGGTAACAGGGAGCAGTACCTTGTAGAGAGACAGCAAACCCTCCAGCCTGAAGGAAAACAGGACTACGCTCAGCCCTGCCACACATACAGAGCCTCCCTCTAGCCCATCTGTGGGTATGGGCTGTGCTGGCAGCTGCCAGACAGGAGCCTTTGTGGGGCACAGGAGTGGGAAAAGGTTTAGTTAAGGGTGCCCTTATCAGAGCAGAGCATGTTCCATGCTGGGGGAAGCTTGGACACTGCTTTAACCCCTGGTCTGAAAGGAGTATCTCCCGTTGTGCACACAAAGCCCTCAAAGGTGCTGCGCCTGTGGTAAAGCACAAACACATCATTACATCTCGTGGCTCAGAAGATGTGAGGGAATTAACATCTTGCACTGGACTCCCCAAGCCCTCACCAGCTGCAGGAGAAGCTCAGGTGCAAAGGCATAGCAGAAATGCACAGTTGAAAGGCCATCAGGCTCCTGGAGGAGTCTTATTCCTATAACTGTTTCTATAGAGCTTGCTGTGGGGTGGCATTTGGCACCATGTCATCACAAGGATGAGTGTGCAGCCACTGCCAGCTTTCCCAGAACCTGATGGATGGCATCAGAAACTAACCGAAACCACAACTTACATGTTTTTTCAGGTAACATACCAGGCCGCCTCCTGTTTTTAGCGAGAATCAGATTCTAGGAACAAGCATGTCAACAAAACCAGATCAACACGCTCACGGGGAAGGTTAAGTCAACACAAGGGCATGTTTATTTAATTTTAATGTAAGTACAGTCATAGAGATATCTGCTGGGAAGGCCTTCTGCTTGCCTCCGGGCCTGCCTCCCGTAGCAAGCAGGACTGTTGCCAGCACTAGCTCAGCTCAACCATGGCGTCGCCTACCCAACTCTTAAGACACCTCAAGGCCAGAGTCCCTGACCGCTCCAGGTAACCTGTTCCAGAAGCTTCTCCCCTGAACATCCCAATCCACAGCTGATGGCTGTCATCGAACAGTTAGGGTT